TTGAGCTAAAACTCTGTTTGAAACTTTTCTGTCTGGAGCTAGATTTTCTCTTGCTAAATTACTCCTGATTAAAAAGTTTGGTGTAAAATTCAGTCTTTGTGCTGCCCCAGTTAGCAAAGTTTATTATCGAACCCTGGAAATGTAGAGGACATTAGAACATTTCTTCAAACCAGCAATGACTCCTTCAACATCAAATAAAGATTTCAAACTCTATGTAAAATAAATGGATGTCATTATTTTTAGGAGGCTTTTAAAATTTACCGTTGTCCAAATATATATAAAAAGCAGGAGAGATTGTTGAGACCAAAGGGAGGTATCTTGTGTGGTCTCATGGGAGTTTTCAATATTGATGCTTAGCATAGTGGTCACATTAAAATCGATTTTCTGTTCTTGTTCAGAGTACAATTTTAGAATATTGGAATTTTCTTGCGTTATATGGTATACATACCAGTGGTAAGCCAATGAAAGGTTTCTGCAATAACAATATTTTAACATCTTATGCTTGCTTAACCCTGATATAGGAGGGCACACATTACAATAAACACCGACAACAAGGCCCTTTGACTAAGCTGTTGTTTGTGAAGAATGAGAATGAGCTGGTTTCATCGCTAAAAGGCTAAGAGTGACTCACAAATAAGAGTTGAGACCTACTGCAGAGGCAAAAAAAAAGTCTCTGAAAGCTTATGTTTTGTAATTCTCTTACACTGTGAGTGAAAAATTATCTGTTTCAACAAATTTATCTGTAAAATATCTGCCCTAATGAACTCTGAACGTTTTAAATCTTCTTAAATAAAGTAAAACTAATGTTACTTTTCTATGTAAATTATAATCCAACATTAAATATCCACACGGAAAAGTCTAAAACCTCAGTGGGAAATGCCCAGATATCACGCCAATTGGGATAATTGCAGACACTTAAATGGACCTTCAGTAATAACTGTATTAACTCCAGTAATGGCTGAGCTGATATCTTATCAGAAAGTATGACTTTGTAACCCTTATTAATGACTGACACTAATGTCTGCAGACATGACGATTTATGAGAATCCAAGAAAGACCCATCAGAACAGAGTATTACAAGGGAGCAAATAAATAAATAAATATATGTCTAATTATCTGTCTTAAGAAAAGCAGAATATCATTAATGCTGACTTAACTTAAATCAGCCTGGTCTCATTTGTCAGCAGCACATCTGCATCCAAATGATTGTATTGTTAGCGTTGTAATCCAAAGGTTAGCCAGGAGTGAAGGACTAAGAGGGTATTACCATCTGTTAGCCCTCTGCTGACATCTAATGCAACAGTAACTATCTTCTTCATGTGTAATTACCCCCTCCCCCCACCCTCACACACACACACACACACTGCGAGACAGAATAGTCTACCCAAAGTTTCCTCAGGCATTGCCTCATCAATTTTCTAAACCGGAATTAGAAGCAGAATGTGGAATTAAATTAACACAACCAAGCACAGGGAGGGATTTAGATTGAAAGTCAGACTTCAGGTCATTGTTTCCCCTGCAGGATCAGGTCTGGATTTCCATAAGCTACAATAAGCTACAATTCAGGATGAATCACAAAGGACAAACTGTGAAGGAATTTTAAACTCTTGTTTAATACTTTCTTTGTTGCTACAACTTTAATCTCTTGCTTTGTGTGTGTTATCATATTTCGCATTTCTGACATGTTTGGTTCCTCATGTGAGTTACAATTGTTCAAAAAACATTATCTGAGAGAGGTTGGGCTTAAATTATGGAAAATTGAAGGAACAGTGGAGCCAGATTGCAAAACAATGTGAACAAGACCTTGTAGAGATGTAATAATACCTTGAGCACAGCCCTGTAAAAAACTGAGCAAAAATATTGAATACCTCAAATTCTGAACTGTAGCTATTTTTTTTAATCTATCCATGTTTTTTTGAAAATGTGTTTTTTTGAAAATGTGTTATATGTGAGAATAAATACGATGAAATGAGGCTCATGTCGTGGAACGTCAAGTCTTATTCTGCATAGTGTGTTTGTTGGAAGTCTGAAAGGGTTGGATTATCAACACAAACTTAATAATTCATAACAAAGGAGATATTGCTTACATCTCTAACAGGATGCAATCTGAATCAGATTTTGTACAATCATAACTGGGACATTGTGCTGGCAAATCGTCTCGCTTTCTAGTGTGGGTAAAAGCTGAAATTCACTGAGATGCAAAGCTGGAAAAGATCAAGATCCAACTTTTGCTGATTTGGACGACAAAAACAAACCTCTAGCGATCAGTCAGGAAAACCATAATAATATATCTACATATGGCATAGAAAGAATGATGATAACACGTCTGCACAAGAGCTACTCTTTACTCTAATCCCTCTTCATATTCATTTAAAAAACCAGCACCTTTGTAATTAATTCCAGACAGTCAGAGCATCACAGCTGAAGACATGAGCACATATTTCTACAGCTGTAATATATATTTTGATCAGAAGAAATCAAAGCAATACTTTAAAATTTTTGTGATTTATTTAATCTTTCTTTTTCTTTTTTTTGCTTCTCCTGTAGATAGAACAACGGTCTATCTGCTAATGTCAAATCTTGCTTACATTAGCAGATGCTTAGGCATCACAATATAATTAATAAAACACATAAATCATGACAAAGGATGTTTCAGACGTTTTCAAAACACGTGTCCAAACTGCATGGCAGATTTCTCTGACGGCAGTTTATCTGCAGTCGAGCACTAACACTTGTCTGTCTTTTGTCTAAAAGTATGTGAAGATGTTTATATTTTTATGTACAATAAGATGATATGTAAATTAGCTCCAAGAGCTTCAGTATGGTGAAAAGCAGCTTTTCTTATTTTCCTGAGTAATGTTCCTTGTCGAATAAATTAAATAAACTGAACCATATCAGGGTCAAACCTTTACTCTACCTACCTGTTGACACTAAAAATATTGTTCGCTTCACCTCTGGGCTACTTCGCAATCCGGGCTTCTCTCCAGCATCCCTGATACTTTCTGAGGAAAGGTCAGGTAGGACCCTAATTATGGTCTCCGCTGTAGTCATGTACAGTGGATGGGATTATCCTGGGGTCAGTTTGGGAGCTGACCTCCAGTTGGTAAATTTATGCTGGTGTCTTGGCCTCCATTCTCTCTGCAAATGCACCAGTGCAAATGCAGCACCACGCCACAGCAGGGTGTCATGGTGTGTTTCTGAGCTTTGTGGCCATTGCATCATACTCTTACCCACTCACTAGGCAGTATGCCTTTTTCTCACAGGGAAATGTAAAGCTATACCTTGGTCCCAACCAACACCTTAACTTAAATACATTAAAGACACAATTTTGGACTGGGGTTGTGGTATTACCCCCCAACTTTAAGAGGAAAAAAAGATCTCCAAAATACACAAACTAGTTGAAGTGAAATATTACTAAGGAAGAAATTATCAATTAAGATAATAACCAGATCAGTCCTGTCAAGGAAGCGAGTAAATGGTTATACAAATCCCTTAAAAACTCACAATTTGAAGCATTTACTTGAGTGTGAAAGCAAATTCATACTCTCCAGTCTGCTCAACAAAATCTGTGAGGTAAACATCAGTGTGTCTGCCCATTAGTTTCTGCCAGGACTTTGTATGCAACCCAGACATTTTGATGACTAGCCTGGCTCTTCACATTGGTAGTGACAATAAAACTACCAGTCAAGGGTTGGCGACAAACACAATGCGGATATAGAAAATCACAGGTTAGCTTGTGAGCAGATGAAAAACAACTATGCAATAACACCCATTTTTAAGAAGTAGTCTTGGAAGACCAGCATTTTTTTTTTCCTTTGATCGTAATTTTCTATGAGGAACCAAAAGGTTAAAACAACAACCGGTAGACAAAATATAAATGAAATTATTCTTACTAGCTAGTTGAAATTGAGCCTCAATACTTCATTCCTTTTATTTTTCTCATATTTCTTCCTCTCTCAAATATAAAGGCCAGACTCTCTTTTAGTTGTACCAGATATCTTATTTTATGGCTTTTCCTGTTCAGTCATATTTTAATACAACACATTCAGACAGGGACGATTATTAAAAGCTATTTAAAGGTTGTTGGTCTGAAGAAGATCTTCACTTTGATATAATCTCTCATCATGGGGTGACAGTTCAGAGCAAAAACTCCACTTCCACAAAAGATAGTTCTTCTGGGGGCGATCTAAATTTCTATTTCAGATCACAACTCAAAAGACTTTTAAAAAGTGCTTATTGTACCTGAAGTCTTCTGCTCCATTAAAATAATTTTATCATTTTATTGTGCCTGTTAATTGATTTTGTGTATTTCATACATTGTCCTTGAGAAAGGTGCCTATAAATTAAATGTATATATATATATATATATATATATATATATATATATATATATATATATATATATATATATATATATATATATATATATATATATATATATATATATATATATATATATATATATATATTCTTACTTAAAAAAAGTAAGAATAATAATATATCATTTATATATATATATAAATGATAGTTTATATATATAAACTATCATTATAAGCTCAAATATTTTAAGTAAATGAGCTTGTAATTTAACATCCCATATCCGGTATAGACATTGGCTGCTTTTACTTCATATTAGTTTTATTTATTTATTCACTCTGAATATTTTTTATTTGGATTTATTGAGTTAATATTTATTATAATATGTTTATAAACTTTTGCATGCTAATGTGACTAATGTATATTCTTTGTGTATGCCTTCTCTCTTCCTTTGTGCTCACAGATTGGAGTGACTCATGTACTCAATCATACATTTGTGATAGACTAATATCAATAGATCGGTTAGGAAAAGAAAAAAAAAAACAACTATTCTATAGTGTCTCTGTTGCTGGTCTCCGTCTTTTGCTCCCACACATCCCTCCCTCTCTCCCATCCTCTCTCACCCTGCCACAGCATTTCAGAGCTGCCAGAGGCGTTAACAGAGAGCGAATAGACTCTGATTTCACACACAGCACAGGGAGGAGTCGGCGTCAATGTGTAAATGCACACACTCACTCTGATGCCCATGCTCAGGGAGACAACAGGAGGCGGACAGAGACTTCAGCTGCAGAATGTCCACTTGCTGCAGTCAGACATGCAGGAGGAGTAGATGCTCTGCTCGCCGTTCCAGCTCTGTTTCAGTCCTGTAAGCACCTCCCATCCCCCCCAGTGTTCGCTCCCTGGTCTGCGGTTGCTAAGGGGCTGGCTGGAATGACCCGGGTAAGTAGGAGACACAAGGAGATGCACTAGATGGGGCTGCCGACTGGGAGGACTCTCTGATCCCTGATCCCTCCTCTTCTCCATGCTGACACACAGACAGAAGAGCTCTGATCTACAATACAGATGCATGCCCATATAGGAGGGCATCGCTGTGCAGACCAAGGGTCTTCAATAGGCACAGCTTGACAGGAGGACCTCCACAGAGACACACAGGTAAGGGGCAGCACTGCTGGATCTGCTCTGTTGGATTTCCATCAGTATTGACTTGTGCAGATGTGGGGGAATTGGCAGTGTGTGTGTCATTAAATTATTGTCTCTGATCCAGGTCTGCGCTTAAAAAGTGATTGATCTGTTTGGTTTACGCCTGTGTTTGTCTGATCATGCTGCGCTGCATGATCATTGATTGATAAGAAGATGGGTTTGTGGATGAGTGCTGTGGAAGCATGGGAATGGGTAATGTCTCCTGTCTGAGATGCTTTGATATCCATCACATATCTACATGATGTCAGTGGGAAATAAGAGGAAGCATAAAAGGACCAGGAAAGGAAAAGTGCCACATTCTGTCTTAGTGATTGGTCTCATATTTATTTGAATCTCCTAGGTTGCCGATATCTTCCAAACACTTGGGGCTGTGTTTCTCTGTGTTTCAAGGTAGCCACAAGTGCTTAGATGGGAGAAATGTTTGGGGGAAACGCTCTAAGGGACTTTACAGAGACAGTGCTCGCTGAAGCTGAAGAACAGGAAGAGCTCCTGGGTGTGCATACATCAAGCCACGAGAAAGCTGGAAGTTGGGGAGGAAGCCTGAATATAGACTGAAATTAAAAACAGAAAAACTATGTTGGAAATAGAGGTTCAAACAGAGGATTCAAATGATTATCTGCGAATTCACTAAAAATAGAAGGACTACGAAGACCTTTAGGAGACTGAAAACAGGAAGAGAAAAGGTCTACAAACAGCATATGTTCTTCTCTAATACTGTTCAAATGGTTTTGGGGGGGTTCACTTTCTCTGTGAAAGTCAATGGACAAAGCAGCAGCAGCTCCATTCAGAGATTGGCTCTGAACGAATGCGCTTATGCAGAGGTGCCAGTGCTTCAGAGAGATGAGCTGTCCAGTACTGTTGCACGGTGCATACATCACTAAACACAGAGCTATAGGCCCAGGAGGAATCAACAGAAAGAAATCCATTACTCAGATGACTATGTTTTTGTGATCTCATCACATGAATGTGTTTGGTTTGAAGACACTGGACAGGGGTGAATGGAGAGAACAATAGCAATAAACATCTTCACTACTAAAAACAAAAACAAAAAAAAACAGATACCAAAAATATCAACCTGATTAGTTGCTGATATTCAGTTTGAATTTAAATACTGGAGCATCTTTTGATGATTTTCAAAAATCATCCTGTTTCCTGCTTGGTTGATCTTTACACATTATACTTACACATAAAATTCCCCACCATCAAGGAGGGATGAAATTACCAGACAAGATTCAAATCACTGCCTAATTTATGCATTAGTATCCTGAATGAAATTCAATCTAAAGATCCAAAATAATTTCTGCAATCTTGTTGCATGGCTCACTCTCAGGGAAAGCCCCTGTTCTGTTTACTGTCAACTTCTGCTTAGTCATTACAAAGAGCAGAACAGCCCAAAGGTTGAGGGGTATGGAGCAAATTAACACCATTTGCAAAACTGCCTTTGCCCAAGTTCACACACCTGCCAGCTTCTCATAACATGGCTCATTGAGGTGTCCGGTATAACATGACTGCTACCAATAAATACCAAGCCAGGGCATGCTTTCAAAATTCAATCAACATCAAAGTGACAAGGTCTGATGCACATGTAGGGAGAACCAGTTGGCACAGCCCAGTAGCGCTGTAGATCTGCATAGGAGCAAAGTAAAAAAGGAGAAATGGCACAAAATAAAGCCTAGAGAATACACCAATTACAGGAAAGAGCTTTTAAATGAGGGGAAAAAACAGACAATTTTTTTCATGCTCCAATAAATATTCTGCTAGTAGTTAAGCACTCATGGATGGCTTTGTTACAAATATCTTGAATACTTCCTCCCCAGAGACGAGCGTGAACAGACACAATCAACCATTATGGGTCTTCCTGGCTGCAAATTATTTTAAATCTAATTAGTGAAATTAATCTTCAGCAATGTTGGACAAAATGATTTTTGTCTTGGAGTTACAAATGTGGAGTTCAAGGATAAGCCTTGCAGTACTTTATGCATTTATTACCATCATTAAATCTGAACAAAAAACACCAACTTCTTCAGAAAACTCCTAGATATTCAGTCTGGTATTAGTCTGATGCAGCCTGTGTTTTTATTTTACCTAATTGATGGATTTGGATGATTTATTGACTCTAATTATATACATTTCAAAGGAAGTGAAAATTTCTGCATGATAAATGACATCTACCATTTGCAGATGTGCTATAGAGTATCAGTTCGGATAAATGGCATGTCTTTATCTCAGATTAATTGGGATAATTTGTTTATGTGATCTAATTAGAGAGAAAATATATGGTGACTTGCAAAAGCTATCCATACCTGAATGTCTGGTTGTTTCTAAAGGACTTTACAAGAGAAACAGGTGTCTGCAACCTGGTGGCTCTCTAGCCACCGTGGCTCCTCAATGTGTCTTCCAAAAGTGTTAAAGGCCTGAGAAATATGTTGAATTATAAAAGTTGTTGAGCTTTTTTTAGTTTGTCATTAGGCTGCAAACTGAACATCTTCCATAAATACGGAATGTTTCATTCAAAAAAGTGTTTTACTATGTGTTAAAGTTGGAAATGTTTCTTTGTTGTTTAGTTTTTTTTAGTTCTTCAATTTAACTCAAAATGATTCTTGTAGAAGGTGTTCATACAACTAAAAAAGTGTGATGCTCCAGACAAAATTGATTTACCATGTATAATGGCAAAATGGCTTTGGTTGTAAATGTTGCGGTAGACCAATGCAAGAAAGAAAATTATACTTCTGTGTGGTCTGAAAATGTGTTTTAAATGAAAAGCTGAAACTTGTTTATTTCTATTCACATTTCTTTAATATTAAGTCCTAAATAACATCCGGTGACACGGCTGCTTTCTGAAGTTAACAACATATCCATCTGTGTAAAATGCCTCAGAAGTTTGCATGAGAACATGGACAACAAATAGCATCATGAAGACTAAGGGATGCATCGCATAAGTCAGCGACATCATTGTAGAACAGTTTGTTTATTTACTATACACTCACATAGCTCTGCTCAGTTTGAAGAGAGCTTTGGACAACTGCAAACATTTCGAGACAGCCAGTCCATCCAAACTGACAGCAGGGCAAGAAGAGACGTAAATAGAGAAGCAGCCAAAGAACAAATTATTACTCTTGATGTCCTCTTGAGATCCACAAGTCAACAGGTTTTGAAAAAGAAAGTCAACTGAGCAACTATTAGTGGTGTACTTCAAAAATCTAGCCCTTATGGAAGAGAAGCAAGAAGGAAACCCAAAATATATAGACAGGGCAATACAGGAAGAAATTCTCTGAGATGCTGCAAAAGACTTTAGACTGGGATGGAGGTTCACTTTCCAGGGAGATAATGACCCTAACCAGACAGCCAAAAATATGTTTACATTAATATTTGAGAACGGGACAATCAGAGTCCTGGCCTAAATCCAGTAAAACAATTATCAGAACTGAACATGGATGTTCAGGCTTAAATCAAATCTGACCCAGCTTGAGCTACTTTTCAAATACAAATTTACAAAGAGTCTCTAGGTGTGCAAAGCTGTAGAGAACCAATAAAAAACTTGCAGCTGGAGTTACAGTAAAGGTGGTTGTATGCCAAACTTTTCAGATTCTATGTGCAAAAGATTTTTTCAAACTATTTATAATTTTGTTTTATTTACATTATTTTAGGCATCTTAAAAAGTTATAGTTTTACTTCTAGCCTTGAGCTAAGATTAAATAGTAAATAAACAAATTTTCTATTTCTAAAAATATAGAGATCTACTTTGATACATTAATCTCTTTAACACTGTATGGAAAGGTTATATTCCATACTGGTTCTGCAGAAAAGTATATGATTATTCAGATTTTGTTTTGTTTGACTGAATCAGATTTTATGTTCAGTTGTGCCGTTTACTATGGTTAAAGCCAGAGAGTTCCTGAAATGAAACCTTTTATATATTTCCCTCTATTCACTAACACACATCTCAAAGAGGTAATTTCCAAAATGCAGTTCATGTATTAAAGGACATCATGTACTATGATAATGTTTAAACGGTTTGTTATGTATAACGTTATATGGGCTGAAAAGATCCTGAATACAGGAAATAAAAAGGGAGGTAGTTAGAAAAGGGTGACACTTCGTGACGTCAATGGTTTAAACCTGATGATGGGCCGAGGCATTTCTGCGTGACATTCCTCCAAATGCTGACATGGGTTTTCACTTTGTGCTCAATATGTTTCACACAGTCCAAGAACACGTATGAGAAGAAACTGGTGGCTAACCTAGCAGAATGTGTGAGTGACAGCATGACAGGTTCAGTGTCAGTCTGTGTTTAACTGATGAACAGATACTGCAGTGAAGGAAAACAAAGATAGAATCTGATGCCATTGCAACCCAAAATATATTGGTAGGTTAAGACTATTAAGGACAATGATAATAGACTAAATAGGAAATAAAATTCCTGTAACAGGCTAATGTGTCAGAATGAGCAAAAAAGCACAATTAACTCATAACATGGCAGCGATAAGGTTTAGGGGGAAAAAAAGTTTTTACCAGTCATACTGAAAAATTCTGCCTCATAAATGGATGAGGTTGACATAAAAATGCAGGTAAAATGTTACAACTTCAGTAACAAACTGTATATGGCACAGTCATGCATAACTGCCAGGAAATTTGTGCATGAGCTCCTCGCATATGGCAGCAACCGCAACAATACTTAATTGTGTGCTGTAATATGCAGACACTCTGTCTCTACTAATGAAGATTCTCTGATGTCTGCTATGAATGCTTTAAGAAGCTGATGTCTGCTATGAATGCTTTAAGAAGCTGCTGTTGATTACAGATTGACCTGTTTTCTGACTGAGCTTATATTTATTTGACCAATTTAGTTTTATCCTCAGACTCTTTAAATCATCTGAGTTACTGTTGCTTGCTGGGAAGAATTTTAGTCTTGTACACAGGTTGAAGTGTGACTAGGCAAAACACGTCAGTTC